TGCAGCTCTCTGTGGCTTTTGAATGTCTGGTTTTGTCAGTGATTCTCCTTGTCCCACTGCCTTCAGGCCCTTCTGAGTAAAGGAGGGAGTAGGAGAATCTCCCTCACTCTGCTTGTTCCCTTACCCACCTCTTATCCCATGTCCAAAATAACCATTTCAGGTTTCCTCATGTGGAGGTTTGCCATACCTCTGTGCCACCTGGCTTTGACCTCTTCCCTTGGTGATTTCAGAGTATCTGGGGCCAAGTGTTGCCTTTGGGGCAGTGCATCGTGCAGACACGTAGCTGTGTTTATAGAGAATCTTTTCTGCTGCCTTTTCAGCACCTCCAAAAGCTGTTCCTGTAGTGTGAGGAGCTGGCTGTTCCTTCCCAGTGTTTGTGCTCTTGCACCAGTCAGTGCTGACATCCTGTGGCTCAGCTGATTTATTCAGGATTTTGTATTTTTATTAAAAAAAACCAATTTTTTTTACCACTCCTGCAATCTACTATCTTCAGATCACTAGAATTCCTTTTTTCCTTCCTTCTTACACCTGACTCGTGGCAAGCACAACCAATGCAACAGGTGATAGTGCAGAGAGAAATAATGGAAATGAGCTTGAGATTCTTGAAGAATTTGGAAATAATGGCTTTTTTTTTTCCCCATCCTCCTTCCTCTCCACAAGGATTTCTCATTTCTCTATGTAATCCAGCTTTCTCTGGTATGTTGTGCTTCCAGGCTCTGAAACAGGTCCTCTGCATGCATCACATCAATACAACACCCAAAACTCATTCAATATAAAGAAAAAAAACAGGCAGATTTTTCCATCTTTTCTCTCAGTTCCAAGACTGGCTTCAGTTGTGCTGAGCTGCAGCCTGGTTGGCATCCAGGGTCCTGGTGGAATGCTCAGGAATGAGAGTAAAACCAAGCATGAGAGGAGATTTCCTTCAGTCCCTTGTGCTTCCTCTGATTTTGACTGTTTTACTTCTTTTCTGTGGCTCTGGGAGCCCCCTCTCAGGCTCTGTTTTCTCCAAAGCCACTCAGGCTGAGGATTCTCATCCCTTTACAGGGCAGACCCAGTCACCTTCTAATATCTGAACTTAATAATTGGGTTTTATTTGGTCCAAGTGTGTTTTGAGAGTTACAAGTGGAGAGTCTGCAGCTGGCAGAAGGGGCTGCCCCAGAGCTCTGTGCAGCTTGTGGGGACATCAGTCTGTTAGCATCATATCCTCTCTTTTGTGACAGAGCACTTGAATAATTTAGAGAATTTTTTGTCTTGAGTGTAATTAAAAATAACCCACAGAGCAACTTTTCTTTGCCATCAGAGAAGATCTGTGGGGGTGTGTGAATGAAATGCTTTATTGGTGGCTGGTACTCAACTCTAAGCAAAGTTCACTTGAGTTCTGTTTTTATTTTTCCCCTGTTCTACTGTGGCTTTTGAAAACCTGTTGGAACAGACAAAGCCTGAGGGATAGATTTCAGCAATACCTCATCCCTGTGTCTTATTTCCTTCTGTTGGCTTTGAGAGTCTCCTCTTCCACACGTGGCTTCTGACGCACTTCGGGGCTTGAGGAAAGAGATGCAACAAAGGAAAACCCTCAGAAAATTTGATGTAATGTGTCACTAATGCCAGAAGAGGGTAGAGCAGTTCAAGGGAAATTTGCTTGACTTTTGTGCAGGTGGTAGCTGGTTTTGGAAAAGCACTTTGTGCACTGAAGATCATTTCTTTGCACGTGTCGGGGTGTTTAAATTATCCCTGTGGCTATTAATCCTGTTGAGCATTTTTATTCAAGTTCATTCTTACTACTGCATGTTTAAAAGCTCTTGTGTTTTTTTTTTTCCTCTTCTAGCTCCTATGTTAAGTTTGATATCATTCGAAGGATAATGACCAGGTTTTTTGGAATTGAAGTTATCATGGTGATGGGCATCACAGACATAGATGACAAGATAATAAAAAGAGCCAAGGAGGTGGGTGCTTGCTGCAGTCTGTCCCTCAAACTTCTGGCATTTTCTACAGCTGCTTACACAGGAAAGTTAACCTGTGGGGGTTTTGGTGTTTTGTTGCTCTTGTTTGGGTATTTTTTAATAAGAAATGTTGAGTTTTCTGGTTCCCTCACATGGCTGTAATGGGGCTGAGAGGTGGGTGGAGGGGATTGGGAGCAGAGCTGTATGAGGGGGAGAGGCAGGGAGGGCTGGGAACCCTCCTGCCCTCACCCCCTGCCTGCTACACCAGCAGGGAGCAACGAGCCCGGGTGAAACCTCAGCAGTGTGAAGAATATCTTAGCCCAAAAGCACCCCAAAACTTAGCAGCCAGGAGCCTTCTGGCCAAGTTCTGGAGAACCTTTGTGTGCCGTTGGTCATTCAGAGCCACACGTGAGGCTGAGGGCAGGTCCAGAAAGGTGCTGAGCACCATGTAGCTGCAGCATCAGCACCTTGGAAAGCTTTTAGCAGTCTTGTCTGAGTTTGTCCTCTGCATGGAAGTTGACACTGAGCATAGGGGTAAGTAAGTCTTGATAAGACTGGAGCAGTAAGTGGTTCTCAGATGGATTTTAATCAGACCTTTTTTTTTTACCAGATGGGGCTTGGTGAATGATTATTAATGAATTTATTTATTTATTTTTATTTTTCCAAGCTTTCTGGACCCTTGAATGATAAGAATATATTCTATGTTTTATTCTAAAATCTGAATTTTTTTTGTTTCATTTTCTTTTTAGAGTCTGTAACTCCCATCTTCTGGGTCATAAATGAATGTGTTGGATCAGCTTGCAGTTGCAAGCTTTAAAATAGTTTCTGGGAGCCAGAGAATTTAACAGCTGTCACTTTTATTTAATCTTTAAGTAAACAGTTATTATTGCAGTTAAAAATAGGGCACTGCATTGAAATGAATGCTGGCACCCTGCTCCTGTAGTGATACACGTGGGCTCTCTTAGTCTGTTTACCTGCAGGTCTCTCAGGCAGCAAGCCATCCTAAAAACAAAACAAAACAACAACCCTCCAACATTTTAAACCTCTATGTGTGTGTTTAAAAAGTTTTCCATATTGTCAGAACATTGTTCTGGGTTTATATTTGAGGAGGGGGAAATGACATGATGTTTTAAAAGGATTTGTGTTCCTTTACTGGGTTCTTTGGTTCTATGAACTAATCTATTCATGGCTTTTTTGGTGACTTTTTGAAATGCCTGTTCTGCTCTCTACATTTTGTTTGGATGGCCAAGATGTCTACCTCAGTAGCCTGATTTTGTTGGGTCCTCTGTACATAACACATTCTAGTGGTAGGATCAGCACACCTAGGCTTGTTTCCATCCTCTGGTGGGATTTATCTTGGGCAAACCTGAAATTTGGGCATCTGGTCTGTGATGAGGGTGCTACATGCCCTCAGAGGTCCTTTGAGAGAGAGAGAGGAGTCTCTTTATGTTTTGAATGTCTGGATGGGAGGAATTTCTCAGTCTTCCTCCTATAGGCACCTTGGTGTCTCTGATGGAAGGAGCTGCTGAGCTGTCCAGGGAGCTGAGTTTCATTGCTGGAGTGTGGGAGAGCCCTCTCTGCTTCTCTGTGCTGAGCATCTTCCTCATTCCATTGCTGGATGAGCATCTGGTGTGTCTTCACCAGAACTCCTGTCTTGTCCAGGAGCTCATCCAAATAGGTCTTAAAAAATCAGACCCCTTCAAGATGCTCTGGTGATGAATTCACTGGGTTGATTTTGTTAATGGACTGACACTGTCTTCTCCCCAGTGAGCTCCCAGCAGAGAAGATGTCAAAGCTCACCTCTGAAACACTTTGATGTCCCACTTTGCTTGCTCAGGCAGGTTGTGCTTGGGAAGTACCACCCTTGGCAAAGCTTGGGATTTTTGACTTCCACTTTATTTCCCCTGATGGCAATGAGATCTGTGTGAAACTCTGATCAGCTGAAAGAGCTTATTTTTCTTAATCATTGAAAATTAATATCCTGCCTCATCCTGCAAGCCTCTGCTCTGTCTTTCTGACACGTGGGAGGTATTGGTGTCCCCTGCCAATAAGTGGAATGAATTTCATGTCCTGTGGACTGCAGTATGTCTTGTCACTGGAAATGGAAGACCCTCTCAAGAGGAAAATAATGAGAGAGGGAAGGAGTTTCCTGGTTTAATCGTTGGTTGCTTTCTCTTAAAAGATAGGTATTAATATTTTGGCCATTTAGAAGCATAAATGAAACACTACTTTTAAGTTATTTACAACTTGTATCTCTTTCCCATGAATATTAGATTAATAAACCTTTTAGACTTTTTACCTTGGGGGCTCAGTAAGTCTTTCAATTAGCTATTAACTGTCTTGATAAAATATTGCAATATTTTATATGATTACTGTGGTTTATAATTCACTAATCTGCTTCTCTCTCTTCCAGATGAATATATCACCAGTAGCTCTTGCTCGTATTTATGAAGAAGACTTTAAACAAGATATGGCTGCATTAAAGGTACAGACACTCCAGCCTTTAAATATCAGTATTTGAAAGCAATGATGACCTTTTTGTGATACTTAGAACTTCTTTTAAAAGATAAAATTGAGGAAAATACTCTTTAAAGTTTATCCTTAGAGGGAAGAGACTTGTCAGCAGTGTTTCATGCCGGCCAACGAGATGTTCCTCTTCCTTTGTTTAAGGTCCTTCCTCCTACAGTATACATGAGAGTGACTGACAATATTCCTCAGATCATTTCCTTTATAAACACAATAATTGCTAAGGGACAAGCCTATGCAACCTCACGAGGTAAGACTCACAGCAGGGCAACCCCTCCTTCAGAACATGGGCAGGAGATCAGTGTATGTGATGGTGATGCTCTCAGCAATGCTGTTTGGAGATGCTTTGTGCCAGGCTTTCCCTCTGTCCCTGAGCAGACAGGGTGTGACAGGAGTGAGCAGAACAACTCTCACTCAATTTCTAATTGAAATATAGCTCATGACTTGATGTAATTGTTTACTGTAATGAACTGCTGCCTAAGCTCTGTGGGGAGGTGCTGGCCTGGCTTCCACCTGAGATATAAACAGGAGGTAAGCAATAAACAGGAGGTGGGGATCTCCTGTGTGCTGTGAAAGATGTGCCTGCAAAGCACAGGGTGGGGGGTTTTTTAGCAGAGCTGGTGGCTGTGGAGGGATTTCCCTGGAGCAGCAAGGCTGTGCTGCAGTCAGGGAGGGGATTGCTGATCCAGGATGTGCAGGATGAGCACGTGTTGAAGAGCTGGTGACATGGAAACATCTGCTGCTCCTTCTGAGTTTCTGTGTTGGCGTTTACAATGGGAGCTGAAGGGCATTTTGTTTTGTTTTGCTTTCTCTTCATCATGAATGGGCCCCAGCTTTGCTATAAAACTAAACATTTCTTTTCTACTAGGCAATGTTTATTTTGATGTTAAATCTTGGGGAAAAAGATATGGAGTATTAACTGCTGTTTCTCCTGACACCGAGGATGAAGCAGGTATGTTCATGGCATCACCTGGCTTTGGTTGACCTTGTGATGTGTCTAGTGCCCAAAATTTCATTCAACAGTCTGAAACAGTTTTCTCATCTCATGTGGGTAGCCAACTTTTTGGTTAATTAAGATTATATTGCTTTTGTAATCATTTGTTGAGGCGCTCACTGGTGCCAGTGCAAGAGGAAACTTAATGGTCTCTTTTCTTACTTGGTTCCCTCCATACTTTTTGTTCTGTTGCCTGAGAACAATTGGATTTCTCTAAGCAATTTTATTTAAATAGTTGAGAGTTGTACATAAAACCATGGCAGTGAGGTAGTTGTGCTAGCCAGCAGTGAGATAATCAAGGGGGTGCAGGGAAACATCATTTAATGTGTTATGATTTGGGCACCTCCCTCCTCTGCTGCATGCTAACCAAATGAGTTTGCTTCTCTCATTCCTTGCCACCAGGCTACTGCTGAGCAGCCTGTTTGTGTGAGGGGGAGCAGGCTGTGCTAGAGCATCCCTGCACCACGAGCTGCATATTTTTTCTGCAGTGGTCTGACTGCTGCACAGCATTGCTGAACCTCTTTGGAGTGTCTCTGAGCTGGGGCTGATCAGGTCACTGCACTGGAGAATGAGCTGCAGGTCTTCCACATCCCTTTTTCACACTGAAGTTCAATATTTCTTCATTGAAAAAAATCTGTTTGCCATTACAGAAAATGCCTGGCAGGCTGCTGCTCAGGTGAACTGCAGCCAGAACCTTCTGACAGCTCCACTCTGGAGTTGTTTCAGCATTACAACTCACAGAGGGAATGGATTTTGTCAGTGGTTATTTAGAGGCAGTTACTGAGTGTGAAGGAAGCCAGCAGCCTCCTGGGCTGCCCTGGGAAGAGCACTGCCAGCACAGCAAGGGAGGTCATCCTCCTCCTCTCCTCAGCACTGGTGGGACATGCCTGAAGTGCTGGGTCCAGTGCTGGGCTCCCCAGTACCAGAGAGAGCCCTGCATAGGTCTGTGGGTATGGGGGAGCTACTGGAGCATCTTTTAGGCCAGGGAAGGCTGAGAGAGCTGGGACTGCTCAGCCTGGAGGAGGGAAGGCTTAGGGACATCTTACCTGTGTGTACAGACACCTGATGGGGGGAATAAGGAAGATGGAGCCAGGCTCCTCTCAGTGGTGCTTGGTGAGAGGCCATGGGCAAAACCTGAAATACAAGAAATTCCATTTAAAGCTAAGAAAAACCTTTTTTCCTCTAGAGGTTAAAGCAAGAACATGTTGCCCAGAGAGGGTGTGGAGTCTCCATCCTTGGAGATGATTCAGAACCTGACTGGACACCATTCTGAGCAGCCTGCTGGAGCTGAGGTCATTGGGCTAGATGTTCTTGAGGTGCCTCCTAGCCTCAACTGTGGCTGATGTTGTGTTTTACCCTGTTTTCCCTCAAGGCACAATTAATTTTACTGTTATTTCTGAAGATCTTGGCTGTGGTTTTGCTTATAACTAAGGATGTGATGAGTGCTTTTTTAAAAGGGAGCAGTATACTCAAAATAAAAAAGGCAGAAGAGGGATGGAGTCAACAGATACTGGTCAGGCAGAGCTTGGCAAAGCAGTGAAAAAGCCACAATGAAGATAAAACAAGGGTTGTATTTCTATCCCTTTATTTCTTATCCATTTTGAATGATGAAGCAGGTGTAATGGATTTTTCTAATGTGCTCCCCTTAATATTACATGATCTTCTGAAAAGAAACTGCCTCTATATCCATGAAGTGCAAGTGGGATGGCTTGAGAAAAATGACCATCTAATAGACCTCCAAAAATAGCTGTGAATCATCATGAAGCTGATACTGGCAGGCTCCAGGAGCTGGTTCAGACCCAGCAGCACACCAGGGGTTTGTTGGTGACCTGAAATAAGTAGAGGAAAGAAATAAACCTGGTCTTAACTACTGATAAAAGAGGTGAGGAAGGGAACTAGAAATGGTGCAAGCTGCTTGTCAGGTGGATCTCTGGAAGCCAAGCAGATGTATTTTTCTGCTTCAGTCAGATATAAGGTGATGTGTTTGTCAGCAAAAAGCTTTCTGGACTCTGCAGGTTGCTCTGTAGCTCCTGCCAGGGAGAAGTGTGTGTCTGAGAAGGGGGTTAGGAGCCAGCAAAGATGAAGTGTCCTCTCTGCTGCACTGTGGCTCAAAGGACTGTGTCCTTGGCTGTGCAGTGAAGGAACCAACACATGTTCCAGATGTTTGTAGGGAAGTCTACTAGAAGGTTGCCACTGTCCAAGAATAGTTCTGATTCTCATCTCTGAGCTCTTAATTTTATAGAATCTGAAGCAGAAATTGTGTCTTAGTGAAAAAAAATGTGGTTTTTTGTTGTTTGTGGGGGTTGGGTTGGGGTTGGTTTTCTTGCCTTTGCTGCTGTGGTGCAATCTGGCCTGAGAAATTGGCTGATAAGTAACTCAGTGAATGGTGTAAAACCACAGAAGGCTGGAAGGACTAAAAGGATCTACTAAAAAATCTCAAATCCATCTTTCTAGCCTGTAAAAATCAAATTCAACATACTATTTTTTTTTCCCAAATGCTTGATAGAGAAACTGGAAGCCTTGTGTGGGGAGGGAGGAAAAGAACTTGGTCCAAAGAGATTAAAATCTGAGTTCTTCACTGAACACACGTTTCCACTTGCTTTCATTTGCCCTTTTTTTCTTTCTTTGAGACATGGCCTGTTAACAAACCCCTTGTTCTTGGTGTAGCTGAGACTGATAAACGACATGTGAAAGATTTTGCCCTGTGGAAGGCTGCCAAACCTCAGGAGCTGTCTTGGACCTCTCCCTGGGGAAAAGGAAGACCTGGATGGCACATTGAGTGTTCCACAATCTCAAGGTCAGATTTCTTGGGTTTCAGATCTGCTGGTTTTTGTTTTCAGTCAGGTTACAGTAGCAGCAGGAGTACTGAAAGTGTTTTTTTTCCTGATCAGTAGCCAGCAGCACTTTCAATGTGAGTAGTTTGTGCAATTTGGGATGTCACATGTAGCCCAACTCTGCTGCACCTTAATCACAGAGCTGCCTTGCTGTATTTTTTTCACCTTGAGACAGACCTGGATAGTTCAAATACAAAGTGCAGGGTCACACAGCTCATTAGCAAGCTGTGTAACAAAGGGTTTAGTGAAAGCTGTGGGACCTCTTTCATTTGCCTCCATCTGCTTCTTGCAGTCTCCATGGGAGCTGGTCCAGCAGGCCGAGTGTGTCAGGAGGACAGGGTGTGTGTGGGATTCCATCCCAGGAGATCTTGCTGGCCTTGTCTTAGCAGCAGTTGTGGATGTGCATGCTGAACATCTAAGTGTGGCTCAGCTTCCTTCAAGAGTCAGCTGCAGTATGAAATACTCTGAGATCTGTGAGCATGATGTGAATTGTATGTTATAGCCTTTTGCTGGTAGCTGGTTTAAATTAATTTGCTCTTAATTTGGAGTTTTCTCCACAGGGTGGTAGCACTCTGTCCTGCACTGTGTCAACTTGTGACCTATTCATTTGTATTTTAGAGAAAGAGACTTTAGATCTTCTCTTCTGAAAAATGGGTAGTGCTTAGTCTTCCATTAGTGTCAGATCTGGTTTTGGAAAGCTAATAACAAATTAATTAGATCTGGCCCTGCTCATGTTTTCAACCCAAGCTGAAAGTAGATGCAACTTGTGCTTTAAGTTTCTCTTTCTTATGCTGTGCTGGTGCCCCTGGGGTTGCTAGTCATTACCAGCTGCTTGTGGCAAGGTTTATAAGGGTGATTTTCTGTCTGTAAATAGTTCCAGCAGTGAGAAACAGTTCTTAAAGCAACTGAAGTGCACAAAAACCTGCTGTATTTGAGGGGCAAGCTGTGGTGGAAGTGCACAGGTAAGAAATGCCAGTCACAAAATGACCTCTCTCTTAATGCAGTGCTGCTTATAGTTGGCATTTCTTTCTGTAAAAACTTATTTCCTGTGGCTGGCTGAGGCTCCTGCCATGTAAAGAGGAGCTGAGCCATGCAGAGTTTAAGTGTAGTGATCCTGGGCTGTGAAAAGTGGGAAGCTTATTTTGGGAAGTTACCTGAAATACTTTGCTGTCACAGTCAGCTCTCCAAAGCCCATTTTTAACCAATACCCAGCTACCTGTCTGTGCTGAAACTGTAGCAGAGTGAGATGTCCTGCTTGCCATTCATTAAGTTAGAAAAATAATTGCTCCTACTAAGGAGAATTAATTTGTATGCAAATATGGGTCCTATCCACACAAGTTTTAGCCTACAGCATCTGTGTAAAATCTTGTTTTAAAAGTGCAATCACTAAATCATACCTGTAAATTTATTTTCTTTCATCTGATTCTTTTTACCAAAAAAAAACCCCAACCCTTTTGTAGTGTTCTGCTTACCAACCAGGAAAATATTGTTGCAGTGCAGTGTTTGGAAAGCAGCTGGACATCCACACTGGTGGGATAGATCTTGCATTTCCTCACCATGAGAATGAAATTGCACAGTGTGAGGTGTATCATCAGAGTGAGCAGTGGGGGAATTACTTCTGGCATTCTGGTGAGTAAAATGTGAATCACCCTGTGGGGATTTTGGGGTTTGGACAGGTGCTCTACTGCAGTTCCTGGCCTCACTCAGGGAAGAGACATAAATGAGAGTGAATCTTCAAACTGTAGAATGTGGATGCCTTTATTAAGAAAGCAGCTGCAGTGAAATATTGCTGAATTTCATCTGGGCAAACCTCCAAATAATAACACTATACACAATGCCTGTGTGCAGTGTTTACTCCTAATTAAAGGTGTTGAAAGAAGAGGTTTTCCTATAGAATCTCCTCCCTTTCATTTGTTTCAAAATTTGAGGGTTCTTTTTGGGAGAGGCTTTCTTTTTTAATTCTATTTTGGCTGTAACAGTCCTGCAGGAAGAGGGGGGAAATGTTTGATATTTTCCAAGTGTTGATGTAGTCCTCCTAAGACCTAAAATTCTTGCTGTCTGAAAACCAGAACCTGCAGGATCTGAAGGCAGGGAGTGGAGGTGCCACGTGGGCTGGTTGTAAAGTTTGGGAAGCACTGAGAATAAAACAAACCAGCTTTATTCTCCAGCATCTCTCAGCACCTGTGGGCTTAAAATTAAGTTTTCAGGAGCATGGAGAATAGGCTGTGTTTTTAAATACAGTGAAAAACTTTTAAGCATGATAAGAAAAGGCATCTTACTGTTGGAAAATGTTGCAGCCATGGGGGGTTCTGGATTGTCAGCAGAAAGTCAGGTTCAGGTCTGCAATCTCTTTTTACTGAACAATGCTTTGTGCAGGATGTGTGGGTGAACTCTTTGAGCTGCTCCCCCAAGCAAGAGATGCAGAATTAAACACTCTGGGAATTACCTGAGCTTTCTCTTTTTGTGTATGTTTGTGCTGTATGGGATGAATATTGGATTCTAATTCCACTTCCCAGTGCAGGGGTTGTTATCAATCCATAGCAATTCTCCAGAGATTGGGGTGTCCTCCAGGGTGTGAATTATTCCTGAAGTGCTGGGGAGGTCTCTGTGCTTCCAGTGGGACAGACTGGTGACTGCCAGGTAGAGCCTGCTGTTGAAACCCACTGAATCTGACTTTTCAGGCTTGGAATGGAAGCTGTATCTATAATATAGAGAGAAAAAATAAATATATATTAGTTTCTTTGAAATTAACTACAGAAGAATCAATTTCCTTTAAACAAAAGGCAAAAAAAAACCCTCAACCCCAAACTTAATTCCAGGGGCAATTTGTACACTGAGGTTCTGTAGGAGCTGACAGATTACATTCATTAAGTCAGAAGTTTTTTGCTGGAGGATGATAGTGTGAATTATTTAGGGCAAATTAATCAGCTTCAGATACAATTTATTCTGGTAACAGACTTCAGAATTTTAACAGGCTCAGAATTGGAGGAGCAATCCCCATTAGAGGAAGAAAATCCCTGCACTGGGGAGATAAATCTTCTTATGAGGACTTTATTTTTAGACTACTTGTACTCTGGGAAGGGTGCCAAGCCAAAGTTATGAAAATCCTGGTATTTTGTGATTCTTTAATGAAATGGTTCTAAGTGCTGCAGCTCTTGAAGAGGAATATTATTTCAAATTCAGATGTTACCTGCACCTTATTAGGAAAACAAACTGTTGGGAGCTTCACTACCTGGAGTTAAGTAAGGTAACAGGTTAATGGTTGGACTCAATGTCATTTTAAAGGTCTTTTCCAGCCCAAACTGTTTCATTTTTTAAAGACACAGCTGTAAAAGCAGCAGCATGGTCCTGTGTTGCCCCTGCAGAGCAGTCTGAGGCACTGGTAGCACTGGACTGCCAAATCTGTGGTGTGAAAGAGCAGGAAGAGTTCCTGCTTGAAAATCTGCCTCTAGGTACAATGAAATCTTGGATTCTGCAGGTCACAGAGTGCTTGAAAACTGCAAGGGAGTTGTGGGTAACTTAGAGGATTACTCAGCTACACAATATCATATTAATATCCATAATAAAATATGATATTAATATCAATATCCTAGCTAAATCCCTCCCTCTTCCTCCTTTGTCTCAGTTTCCCAAAGTCTGGAGAAACAGGGAATGTGCAGAATGTTCATTTTATGTATCAGGCATTTTGAACCAGCACAATAAACTTTTGGATTAAAAAAAATAAGTGGAACAGCCACCAGCAAGTCATAAGTACAGGAAATGGTCTGATTTTTCAAGACTATTGTAAGGTGAGATCACTGGTAGATCTTTAAAGGTCTTAACTATTCAAAACTACTTTAACAGGTAAAGTGCTTCTCTGAGGATTGAAAAGTGCTTGCTTGTTTTGAGGAGTTTATTATCCATTCTGAGCAGGGAGAGTTTCTCTTTTTTTTTTTCCCTTAGTCATGGCTCTGCTCTGGTGTTTGTGGGGTTTTTTTTTATTCATTTCCTGAAAAAAGTTACACTGAAATGGTTGGCAGGGATCCATCACAGCAGATGCTGCCTCCAGCCTTCCCAGCCTCTCAGTGCAGTTTTCATTCACTCCCCATTCAGGAACCTCCTCATTTATCCTGATTTTCTTTTTATTTTTTTTCCTCTCATCCTCAGGGCATTTGCATGTTAAAGGAAGTACAGAAAAGATGTCCAAGTCCCTAAAAAACTACATAACAATTAAGGTAAGCTGTTTCCCTGAAGTGAAGCAATGTGTGTTTGCAAGATGTAAATATTAACCACAGCCCTCTCTTGAGAAATTTGGGAGTGTGTGCTTCTCCTGCAGGCACAGAGCTGAGGCAGAGTGTTGCTCTAGTCCTCGTGGACCTGCTGTTGTGGAGCTGGATGGAGGAAACCAGCTCAGAGCTGGATTTTGCCCAGCTGAGAGCATTTCTTGGAGCAGCTTTGTTGTCCAGTACCAGACTTGTGCATTACAGATTTACCCTTGGACTTGATGATCTCAAGGGTCTTTTTCCAACCTAAATAATTCTGCTCCAAATAGTACAGGTGGTTTTTTGGACTTGGAATAAGAGCAGATATTTTTCCTTGCTCTGCTTGAGGGGGAGGTGGGACGTGGTGTCAGCATTTTGGGTGTCCTGCAGCTGCACTGTGCCTGTGGTTTTTATACAGTGACCTCTGATGCACAGGGAGCTTTGTCTTTTGGTGACCACAAACCCAAGTGAATACATCTTGTCCCACTGTGTCCCAAAGTTTTTGGTGTAGCCCAGAGCAGGGTTCCTCTGCCAGGCACCTGCAGTGCAGCTGGCACTAGGGGGGCTCCCATGGTGGCTGACACTTCCTAAAAGTGGGTAATTTCTCTCCTTTAAACAAAGCTTGAGAAGCTGTTTCAGCACATATGTTCCCCTTTGCCCTCTCAGAAGACTTAATTAAAATCCATTTTAAAAAAAAAAAGGAGTTCAGAATGAGCTGCTTTATTCTTAATTCTCCTGCTGCTGTCTGGGTGCAGTTAAGCCCTGTCTCCCCCAGGAAAATTGCCCCTCACTCACAATTTTCACAGAAATTTCCCCAGTCTCAGCAGATGTGGAGAGGGTGGAGAAGTGGCCCAATGCAATATGTGAGTTATAAATGCATGGATTTTTATCTAGGAATATAAAATACATCCACGTGCAGTTAAATAAAACATAGAAACTTTCTGCTCTTTTTTTTTTTCCAGTTTGGATGGTCCTTTTCCAAATCTGAATTTATTTCCATCCTTTACTCTTATTCTCCCTCTGGTGTGAAGCTTTTGAGCACCTCGGGTACACTCAGTGACACAGGGTTTATTTTTTAAACAAAACCTCAACACCACCACCACCAAAATAAACTGTATCCTTGTCTGTCTTGATTTATCTTCCCCTGATGGCCTCAGTTATTTCTATTTTCACTGGGCAGACAACACATTGCTGACACTTGGCTGCCTTCAGGGTCCAGGCTGCTTTAGTCTGGTGGCAGAAGCTGAATTTCAAAACAAGGCATCTTTAAGCAAATACACTCCCCAGATTTCCTCACTTGGACTGACTTCTTATGATTTTCTCATTATTTTCTTCAGTGTGACAAACTCACCAACACCAATTTGCAAATTAAAAAGAAACAATAAAAAAAAAGGCAAAAACTGCAGTGTTCTGACTCTGTCTGCCATTGGTGTCCAGCTTGGCTGAGAGCAGAGCTGGAAGGGGTTGTTTTATCCTCCAAAACAACCTCCAAAGGTTGTTTAAACCTCCAAAGCATTTAAAGAGGTTTTTTATACTATTAGTATAAGTTAATTTTACTGGTAATAATAGTAACAACTTACTATTTATTATAGTAATGTGTCTGTAAAGCTAGATAAATATTAGGGAGAAATTAATGAGGTTTCATCAGTATCAACACAAATTCTAGCAGTATTTTTGAAAGAAAACTATTTTTGCTTTAGCTCACTCCCTGCTTTCCTTCACACCTTAGCCCTGCAGAAGTAGTGCACCCATTTTCTTTTACAAGAAATCTATTTTTTTTTATCCTAAAGCTTGCAAAATTTAGGAGCTGCCCTCTCCTGCAAGATCATATCCCAGTCTTAAACCACAACTGAAGTTACCAGACTTTCTGCAAAGGTCTTTTTATACAGTGTGTGCTGATTCAGAACTACAAAGTCCTTTTCACTGACATGTCTTTGATGTGTATTTATATCTTGTATATACTTGTGCACATCTATGTGATAGGGGATTAAATTTGATTTCATTTTAACACCAATTCAAAGTCTGAAGCTTTACACCTGTCTTGAACTACAAAAGGGGGGTTGTTTGTCTGAAATGTGCTGTGAAACTAGTGCAAGGGAGAGGAACAACTCAGGAAGAAACTGAAATCATTCTAAGGCTGTCTTTTGTTTTTTTTTTGTGGCTGGAGTTTAGGATTTCCTGAAGAAGTTCTCCTCAGATGAGTTCAGGATGTTCTGTCTGCGTGGCAGGTACAGCTCAGGTAAGGGAGGGAAGCTGAGGCTGCAGGTGAAGCTTGCTGAGATCCTGGGGGTTGTCCAGGCACACCAGCTGGGGATGCAGAGGGGCAGGGTGGCCTCCTGGGGGGTGGGAAGCTTGGTGGGGCTCATTCCCCAGCACATTTCCCTCCATTCCTGTGTTAATTGCACTTTCCCTTAACGACCTCCCTCTATCTCTGCTGCTCATCCCTTGCAGTCACTGGTATTTCAGTCACCACCAGCTGGTTTTAGGGATGTATCCAGGTGCAGCTTTGCCTCACATTCCCCTAGGGCAGGACAAGGGCTTTGCTAATAGCTTTTTATCTCCCTGCTGTGTGATCATTTTTTGCCCTCTGGATGCCTGAGTGTTCCAGCAGCTCTGGTGCAGCTCCCTCAGCTCAGTGCCTGCTAACCTCACCACCATCCCAGCCTGGCAAACACTGCTGGGGAGAGGGCTGGAGGGTTTCTCAGCTTCCCTGCCTACACCCTTCTGTCTGCAGCAGGCAGGTGCCTAGAACTAGGAAAGGTTTTCCTGTAGACAGTGGTTTTACCAGTTTATTAGGGCCTGGCAGAAGGAGGGGGTGGTTCCCTCCCCTCTGCTGGGTCCTCTGGCTTGTTGGCTGTCCTGGCATGAGAAGGGAAAGGTGCAGGATGGAGCAACAGCTGCTGTGTTGTTCCAGTGGGCCTGTAGCTGCTTCAAATATGTATTTAAAACTGCTGCAGGCAGTGCTGTCCTGGCCCCAAAATGCTCCCCTGGCCCCCAGAACCACTCGGGGGATTTTGGGAACCAAAACAAACTGTAACATTTGGTGCCTGTCATCTTCAGTTCCTGCTTGGTCCTCCTCAGGGTGTGTTTTGTAGTTTGAGGTGGCCATGGTGGCCTTGCTGGCACAGGAGGGAGGAGGGGTGACCCAGGGAAGGTTTCAGAGGTAGGTTTTCACTGCCTGCAGGTGGGGACACCATGAATTGGGGGAGAAGAGTGTCTTTAATCAGAGGGATTCCTCAGGACAGGCTGTCAGTGAGTATTCCTGTGGAGTTCCTGTAACCCCAGCAATCAGCTGAGTGATCTCAGTGGGTATCAATTCTGTCAGTACCTCACTGTTTTCTGAGAGGTCTGTGCCCTGGTCTTTTGAAAACCTGAGTAAAGCTTCATTTTAAACCCAGTGTTAATGTGGGAGTGATGCAGAGTTTTAATTACACGTGGGAAACCTTAATTACAACAGGGAAATTTTGCTAAATACAGGTCCAGACTCACACCTCAGTGCTCCTGTGGAAAATCTATTTAAACACTTAGGCTGCTTTGGGGTTTAGGCTGATGGAACCAAGATCAATCTCTCATCTGGTTGCTCCTACCCTCTTGGATCAGTCCCCCAGCTCTGAGGAGCCTGGGCAGTGTCTGTGCCTGCCCAAAGCAGCCTGCCAGTGTCTGCAGGACCAGAGGTGAGGCTTCTGTGGCAGCTACAGGTGATGCTCAGTGCTGGGGAGGTTGGGAGTGTGCTGCAAGGTGTAGCTGGGTGTACCCAAGAGATCAGGCATCCAAGAGTGGAGTGAGGCTGCCCCTGGCTACAGACAGTGCTTTGAGGCAAGCAACCAGCTCTGCTGAGGGATGTTTTGGGATGGAATGAGGTTAAACTTGGCTCTGTCCTTAGTGGGGACAACTTGTGTGAGGTGAGCTGTGTTGTGTGGGGTCCAAGTGGTGTTCTACAGAGAACTGCACATCCCTGTGCAGCTGAAAAACCTCCCTGAAAAGGGGGGTGAGGTCAGAGGTGTGTCTGGGCAACTTCAATCTGGGGGGGGATGCTTACAGATACAGCTAATCCAAATGCTTTGGTGTAGTAACTTCACAGATTCAACAGCAAAAAAAGTTTAAAGTGAAGTAGCTGTGGCTTGGGTCACCTCCTGGGTGCTTTTTGAGTCAGTCTGGTACCTTTCCAGTAGGTTATACTTGGTCAGATCTAATGATTGCTTTTTTTATATTGATTTAATTCACCAAGTGGGCATGAAAAACAGAGTGTCTAATGAAATGTGCAGTTAATTGTCAGAAAAGTTTGCTGTGACAAATAATGACTTTTCCTGGAGTGGCTTGTTCTCAGAATATTGCTCCTGTGTCTGGCAGACATCATCCCCTCAACTGTAAGACCTGAATTTGTGTTTTTCCATAGCAGTGGAATTCAGTGATGAGAGCATGGATGATGCAAAGCACCACCTCCAGGCCATCTCCTCCTTCATCAAAGATGCAAATGCTTATATAAAAGGGCAGCTGCTGTGTGACCCTGTGAGAGAGGATGTGCTGTGGGAAAGGTGAGTGCCCCTCCTCTATCTCAGACACTGATTGTGTGAGCAGTGGTGTGCTGCCAGGCTCAGAGGGCTCAGCAGGGCAGTGTGCTGGGTGCTGTGGAAGGAGCAGGATAAGAGAAGCAGGCTCCAGGGCAGCTTTATTTTTCTTCTTTTTCTAGCCAGCTGCTTTTCCTCCTAGTCTGTTATGCTTAGCTAATTGTGTTTTTAAAATCTGTGGGTTTTATCTAGTGTGCCTAACTCTAGATAAAAACATCTCTGCCTCTCTTCAGAGCTCTGTCTGAAGCTGTGAGGCTGCCTGCTTTGTAAGTAGGGCTGTGTTAGCAGCTGAAGAAGAGGATGGCTGGAAAGGAACACACCTTGGGCACAGCAGCCTGTCATCCAGCTGGCTGGCCCTGTGGAGGGTTACTAAGGAACTAGCCAGAGGCAGAGGTGCCACAGGGAAATAAGGAATTATGGTTGTGGTGACCCTGACAATGATGAGGAGAATCTGCCTTGGAATCCCTTAGGAAAAGCAGATCACCTTCCAAGGGAGAGGCAGCCTGTGGAGTGCAGAGCACAGTGCTCTGGGGTGGGGGCAGGAGGGTGCTGGGCACTGTGGAGCATCCTGTGCACAGGCAGCTCTGGGATGTGGGAGAGGAGGGGCAGTGGCTCTGGAGAGTGCAGGAGAGCTGCTGGTGGGAGAGAAGGCTGAGGGATGTGAGGATGGGGGGAGGTTGAGATGGATTCCTGGTGGGGACTGCATGGGAGGGCACAGCTTTAGTGTGGGTAGATGTCCAGAGGGTATTACCCTGTGTCCCTTTACATGCTCCCCTGCTTCCCAGCAGGATATCACCTCCCCATTCACCCCTCTCTCCCCTGGGCAGCACTCTGCTTTTGGCAGACACTGTGAGCAGAAAGGTTTGCTAAAGCCAGAGAGCCAAATAAAACAGAGTTTTTAGCTGGAAAGTGGTGGATCCCCAGTGGGGAGGGGGAAGCTGGCAGGGCAGAGTGTTGGGAGGGCAGCAGCCACCAGCTCCCTGAGGTGGGACAGGCATTCCAGGCACAAACACTGGGCAGCAGGCAGAGCAGGGTCCAGGCCAGCTCCAGGGGACCCTGCTCCCCAAACTGCAGGGTGAGAGCACCCCTGGGGCAGTGCTCTTGGGGTCTGGTTCTGGCTGTGGACAGAGCACAGCACCATGTGTCTGTGCTGCTGTTGGCTCTGGGGAGCAGCCAGTATTTACTGTGGCACTTGGGGTTTGACACGTGCCAGGCTGTTCCCTTTGCAGCTGAAGGATGTTCTCTCCCTCACTGGGAGAGCTGGGAAGGAGATGCCAGTGTCCTTTCCACAACTCCCTCTCCCTGAGGGGGTGAGGAATTCAGTGCTGCTGGCACCTTGTCTCCTCTGAAGCTCTCCCTCCTCTCCTTGCAGGCTGGCCAGCACAAAAGTCACCGTGAGGGCTGCCTTGGCAGATGACTTTGACACCTCCAGGGCTGTTGCAGCAATCATGGACCTCATTCACCATGGCAACAGACAGCTTAAGGCTGTTACTAAGGTAACCCATGAGGATACAGAGATCAGAAGATGACAGCTGTCCACTCTCCTGCTGTTTCATGCAGACAGATTATTGTTCACAGAAGAAACCAGCAGAAACAAAGCTCCATAAATTGTTGACCCTTTAATGGTGCCCATTTGTCCTCACCCCATCTCAGGGGCTGTGTGTACAGCTCTTGTTTGGTGCTTGGTTGTGTCCAAAGGATGTTTCTTTCCTGCTGCTCTGTTCTTTCTACCTAAGGTTTTCTGAAAGGCCTGAAGCCATCCTGGCATGCTCATTTTAGTGCTGGTTTTATGTTCTTAGCCTGTTTCTTTGCTTAATAGCCATGCACAGAAATCAGCCTCAGTGGGGAGGTGAGGGGTGGGGGTTGCTGGGGGGGCTTTGGCAGTCATGGTTGGGGGCTCAGCTTTGGGGGACAGTGACTTCTGCTCTTGGCAGGTTATAACTCTGGCCTCAGCATATGTCTGTTTTTTTCAGATTTTGGCAAATTGAGACCCTGTTAAGGTCTCTCAGTCTTGAACACAAAGGAGGTGCCTGGTAGGGACATGATCTGAGCAGTAAAGAGTCTGGAGCACTTCTGGGTCTCCTTTCAGCTCAGGGCCAGCAGCTCAGCCCTGCTGCTGTGCTCCTGGGTTGTGCCCAGTGTGTTTGTGCTGTAAGAGAGATGCTGAGTGCAGATTGATAACTGATCTTAGCCTGTTGGTTTAGAAATCCTGCCTTCTTCTGCTCCTGTTTTAGCCCTGGCTTTAAATTCTGGCCTTAGCCTTTCTTTATAGAGTTACTGGAGTGAATCCCTGACCCAAACCAGTCTGCAGCAGGGATCTGCAGCAGCATTTCCACCCCCAAACAGCAATCACCCCTCCTTTCCTCCTGCCAGTCGTTTTGGTGAGAGCTGGGAGGGCTCTTTTAGCTGACTCAGAGTTCTGCTCTCAGGGGTGGAGCTTGTTTTGGGTGCAGCCCAGCTGCCTGAGCCTCTGGCTGTGCACGTGGGTTTCCTTCTTCAGAGCTGTAAATCCACACAAATGGAGCTGCTTGTTCCTCTCTCCAGCCTTCCCACCATTCTGACCTCAGCTGATTCTCTCCCTCAGTGGCCCCTCTTTTGCAAATTTTGGGTTCTGGCTTATCTCAGGCCCTGGTGGGGATGTCAGAGAAAACCCAGCACTGTTGATTTGCTTACATATATCATCACTCTTTTTTTTTTAGGCAAGGATTAGTCCCTTCAGTTGCTTCTCAGTCTGTCACTTAACCTTGATTTTCAGGATTTTTTTGTCTTGTGAAACAAATCCAGAGGAAGGAAAGGAATGTCTCTGTTCTTGAAGCTGTTGTGTTGCTGCTGCTGGGGCTCCTGAGCTGTCTCCTACCCCAGAGCAGCCTTCATGTTGTTTCCATCATTAAGACACTCCAAAAAGGATCTGAGAGATCATTCTTAAAATCATTTCTTGCATAGGTGCCCTTGAAGCTGAGACTCTGGTGTTTTGTTTTTCTATGCACAGCCCTCTCAAGCCCAGAAGTGTTGGTTTTAGGGCTGATTTATGGCACCATGTAACACTTGGCAGCTTCATGCACCTCTCCTTGCTGCTCATGAGCTCTCCCCCTCCCTCCTTTACTGAAATCTTTCTCTGTGTGTGTTCTGAGCTGCTGTAGAACCCCCTGTGTGGGCAGGTGTTGCTGGTGGAGGGGGATCTGTGTCACCAGTACCAGTTTTCCCCCCAGAGATGCTGAGTTCTGTGATGTGCATTGACTGGACAATAACTTCTGAGTGTTTTTTGAACAGGATGCTGGATCTCCTAGAAGCTCAGTGGTGTATGGCAGCCTTGTTGCCTACCTAGAAGGCTTTTTTAATGCCCTTGGGATGTCCTTTGGAGAAAGACAGGTAAGAAACATCTCCTGTGTGGGTGTGCCAGCACATGGGAGCAGCACCAGGGGTAGCTTTTAGGGAATGCTGTGAGAGCTGCAGGTGTCAGCAGGTGCTCTCTGGCTTTAGCAAACTTTTCTGCTCACAGTGTCTGCCAAAAGCAGAGGGGTGAATGGGGAGGTGATATCCTGCTTGGAAGCATGTAAATGGACACAGTGTAAGACCCTCTGGACAGACCATTAGATGAGTCTAATTGAATTTAGATCTTGAGAGATAAACCATTCAGAACTTGTTTGCATTTCACTAGGAATGAGATGATCAGCAGTTACCTTTACATAGAAATTGTGATGCATAGTTTCATTCACACAGAAACACAAATACCAAAAAATATTCAGGTATTTGTGGGCTTTATTTGCATGGAGTTGCTACCTCTGTGTAGAAATGAAGCAATTACTGTAACAGATAATTATATGCTCAGATGCAATTTGCACAAGAGGAGAAAAAAAATCCTACAGTTTACTCATTGTGTAGATATTTGGGGCCACAAAGCAAACCAAAAAAGAGCTAGAAGAAAACCTGCATTTTTGTCTAAGATGTCAAATCAACAGTTCATTTAAAGAAGAAAAAAAAAAACCCTCCATTCCTTTTTCATAAGTAAATTCTCCTTTTTGCAGAAAATTATTGATGTGCTTCTCACTAGGTTCTAAATAGCAAGAATAAACATATGTAAAAAGTCAAAACCTTGTTACTTTTCTTGAAGACCTGTTCTATATGAATCAGATTCTTGAAAAAGCTCTCTAATTATTGCCATTTTGGGTTAGTGGAAGAAAAATTTGTACACACAGAGGCCTGTGTAACTGATACAGATTGAAACATTCTTTTTTTACTCAAAGGGAAATATTTCTTTGATTTATGCCAATTTTTTAACAAAGAAAACTGCTGTTCTAAAATGAAAAATCAAAGACTTGAATATCCAAGTGCTTTCTTTTTTAAATTAACCAGCTCCAGGTTGTTGACACAGGGTGTTGGAGGCTGGCAGGATGTTCTCTGCTCTTCTCCTGCTCAAACCTGCAGCTCGATACCTGGAAGCTGAAAACTCTTTAGAGAAGCTGCTCTGCAGAAGTTTCTTTGGGGGAGAGGGAGAAGAGGAGAAGACAATAAATACATGAAACAAGAGAACTCATCCTTGGACAGTCAGGCAGTATAGCAATAACTGCATTTATTCACTTGGGTGGTTTATTTTCCACCAGATCCCTTTCAGAGCAGCCGCTGGGTGTGACTGGGCTGTGGTGTGGGTGTTTGGGCTGGCTTCCTTGGGCTGTTTGCCCACAGCCTGTGGCTCTGCCTTGGTTTTTAACCCCCCTCCTCTGCTCTTCTGCAGGTGGCTGTGGGAGGGGAGGGCTCTGCCCTGCTCTGCAGTGTGGTGGAGGAGCTGGTGAGGTTCCGCAGCAGGGTCCGGCACTACGCCCTCGCCCTGCCAGCCCCAGAGCCAGGGCAGGGGCAGCCAGCACCTCAGGGAGACCAGCAGGAGCAGAGGGAGAAGAGGCAGCAGCTGCTGCAGGAGAGAAAACCACTCCTGGAGGCTTGTGATGCTCTGCGTGAGGACCTTGCTGCCTTTGGGGTCCACATAAAGGTAGATGAGCCTCACCCCCTTTATCTTTTAACAGAGTGTTTGGTTTTGCTCCTTCTGCAGTTGCTGTTTAATCACTGAAAATCCCATAATATTCTGGAGTCCCTAAGCTGCCCAAGCTCAATCCAGAAGGAGAGGTGTGAACGATGTGTGCAAGCTTTAAAAAGATGGCAGTTGAATTGGAAAGTAACCCAAAATGGCATAAAAATGATGCTTTCCCTCCACCCTCCTATTTCATACCACAAAATCCTAAGTCCTCCTGAAAAAGCCACTTCTGCCTTCAGCAGCTCCATGCCCAGCTGCTTCTGAGCCAGAAGTACCCTGCCTGGTTCCTGGACCACCACTCCTCCACCCCCCTGCTCTCCACTTCCAGCCTGCTCCTAATCCCTCTGTTCTTTTCCATTCCCCCAGTGGTGCCTCAAAAGAGATCCTAGAATGGGTTGGGTTGGAAGGGACCTTAAAGATCCCCCAGTTCCAACACCCCTCCATGAGCAGGGACACCTCCCACTAGATCAGGTTGCTCCAAGACTCACCCAACCCAACCTTGAACATTTCCAGGGATGGAGCATCCACAGCTCCTCTGGGCAGCCTGGGCCAGAGCCTCCCCACCCTGAGAGGGAAGAACTTCCTCAGACCTAACTCCCTGCACTGGCTGGCTGTCCCTCCTGGTTCCAAGGTGCTGTATCACCTCTCTAACACGTGCTGCTCCTTCCAGTCCCCTTGCTCTGCCCCCCTTGTTGGGGTCAGGGTTGCTCCTCACCTGCAGGACAATCCCCCAGCTCCTCCCTGCCTCCAGTGCAGGTCTCTGCCCCTCACCCAGGTCCTGAGCCTTCCACTGTTGTCCTGAGGGGAGGTGGTGCTGAGCTGGAGCAGTGAGGGCACAGGGGAGCCTCACAGGGGAGCTGCAACATCTGCTTCCAAACCTTGGTGACCACAGCTGGATCCTCACTCCACTTCTCCAAACGACTGTGTGGAGACAAAGTCCTGGAGGAGGAGACTGAGGGAGACTCCCCTTGGATCTGTTGGGCACAACGGCCACAGCCCCACCTCCACCCTTCTCAGGATTTGTTTGGCTCTGGTTTTAAAGGGATTTAAACATTTAATAACCTCCTAGGGACTGGCTGTAGCCAGGATTCTCCCTTTCTGTCAGTTTTTCTTTAGATAACCTGGGTGTAGCCCATCTCCTGCATGTCCTGGGGTGGTTTGCTCCTGCAGACCAAGCAGAGGAGCACCCAGGGGCACACCCAGCCCTGGGTTCCTGCAGAGTGGAGTGGCTGAAGCTCTGTGGAAATCCTGAGGGGTCTGGCCAAGGCAGTGCTGGGGCTCAGCAGAGCACGAGCTCCCCAGGTCCTGCTCCAGGGGGGAATTTGGGATTTCTCTGTTCTACCCAGGCTGGGTGGGGTTGGCCCCTCTGGGGTGCACTCTGAGCATCCCAGCAACTGAATTCCCTTAAAAATCAGCTCTGTGGAGTGGTTGTTTTCCCTGCAGCTGGTAAGCTGGTGATTCCTGGGCCCTGTTTCTCCTCTGGTGCTGCTCAGTGCAGGTGCTGTGCTGCTTGTCTGGCTGTGGGACTTCCAACAAACCAGTTAAAATGTTCCCTGCTCCTTTCACCTCCCTGTAGCTCCAGCCATGGATCATCTCTCAGCATTCAGGGGAACTTTGGGTTGAAGAGTTGGAACAGAGCAGAGCTCAGCTGGGCTGCAATATCCCAACAACACGACAGTATTTCATCACAGGGACTTCAAGCAACAGGCTGCTACCCTAAAATTCAGGGGGAGCTCCAAGAGGGGGATGTATTTCCTCTCCTGTCTTGGCCATGAGCTGTTCCCTGTGTTCACAAGCCAGTTAAATGTGTGTGGTTGCCTGGCAGAAGTTACTCAGAGGACACACAACCCCCCCCCTGCAGCCCCTCAGGTGAAGAGGGGACATTTCTGCTGTGGGCACTTCCCTGGGAAGAGGCATCTGGGTTTGTTGGACAGCTCTGAGCAGTTTGGGGACCCCTGTGCCCCCAGTGACCTCTGTCCCCCCACCTGCTGGGACTGACCCTCCTGCTTCTCCTTGCAGGACAGAGCTGCTGGTTCCACCTGGGAGCTGGAGGAGGGCAGGCAGGCCCAGAGCAACACCAAGAGCTGAGCCTGCATCCCTGGACTCTTCCTGCAGCAGCTGGAAACACTCTGCCCAAACAAAACCTGGGGGGCAGAGCGCCTGACAAAGGACATCACCCCAGCACAGGGGCTGGGGGAAGAGCTGGAGGGGCTGACAAAAGGCCAAAGGTTCTTTGATACTGCTGAGAATAAACCCTGCAGCTGTTTTTCTGCTCTTCCTGGAAGGAGAGGGAGGGGAGGTGGGGGAAATCTTCACTCTGCCAGGGGCTGGTTTGGCACTGGTGGGTGTTTTCAGTTTGTGGGTTTGTGTTGTGGTAAAGCAGAAAGGGGGGAAATGGGACCAGGACAACACCACGCAGAGCACACACAGATCATTATTTGCTAGTATTCTTTTTATTTCCTACCCAAAGAAACTGCTACATTGATTTCCAGGAGGTTTAAAAATTGTAACAATTTGTACACAGCAGTGAATAACAAGAGTTACAACTTCTGTGGGGGTTGAAAAACCCAGAGGGCAGGTTGAAATCTGCACCGAGCTGTGTTCATCGATTGGCTTGGCCTACAAATGCCACTCAGGTTACAATGCCACCCGTGGGCTGCAGACAAAACAGAAAATATTGCTTGGTTGAAAGGAAATCCAGTTTTTAAATCAGTCTTAACCTTCTGATTCAGTTTAAGAGGAGTTGAGGCTCTCAAACAGTTCTTTAGGGAGTTAAAAACAGTAGCTTAGGTTCCCCAAAGATGCAGCCAGTTTACAAACCTGCTTCAGTTAAACACCCAAACCTTTTATCAGTAGACTTTGCTCTGATCTAAAAAGTCTGTGAACCCTCCTAGACCAAAACGAGCAAATACTTAATTAAAAAAAAACCCCAACCCTATTTTAGAAACAGGGGATGGGGTTAGAAAAGAAAGAACCAGCAGTGCCTGGGGTGAGGTAGTAGTCACAGTGCATCCAGAAATACTGACAGGGGGCTCTGGGGACAGGACTGAGCTGGAGCTGGGTCACTGGGACAGGGAGCTGGGGTGGAGCTCGGGCAGCTCCTGACCCACCAGATCCCTCCCTTGCTTGTTCCTGGCTGCAGTGGCCCCACAGCTGCAGTGGGGCTGGAGGGCAGGGCCCAAAGGGAAGGTGCTTGGTGTAAACGTGGCCCTTGCTCCCCTCCTGCCTCAATCCCTGCAGGCTTGGACTGAGTGTCCAAAAATCTCAGAAACGGTGCTGGGCAGAATCCCCCCACAGCTTCCCCCTTAGACCCAACACTCCTCTGCCCTGGGGCTGGAGAGGTGTGGCCCTGGCAGCAAAATTCTGTGGGTCCTGCCCCCCTCTCCCCTCCTGCCCGTGCCCAGCAGCAGGCCCAGGCCCTGCCTGGCTGCCCCCTGCTCTGCAGGCTCCTCTGTCCTCTCAGAGCCCTTCTCAGAGCTCTCTGCTCCTCCCTCCTCACCCAGAGTGGGACCAGTCCAGCTTCTGACCCTGCCCAGGGCCTCTCCAAAGGGCATTTCACCAAGTGAGTGCTGGATGAGCCAAGGCCTGCTGCAGGAAGGGATTTTTTTTCCCCATCCAGACCAGCACAATTGCTGCTGAATTCCTGCCCCTCCAGAACATCCTTGTTCTGCAAGGGGGGGACTTTAAACACCCAACCCCAAGAGGCTGCTGAAGGGGGTGCTGCAAAATGAAACGCTGCCTCTGGGGCTGGGAAAAGGCAACTACTGCCACTCAAAATCTACAGCAACCCTCATGCATTCCCTTTCCAAAGAGGCTTTTTTTTGCTTCTTAATACACTAGCGTGGCAAAAAATGAGGTGCAAGAGCTAATTCTAGACAAGAGGGTCCAAGCATGAAAACATGACAGCCTTGGTGCCATCCAAGGAGTTCAGCTGAGCTGGTGGCAGAGTTTTTATCCAAGGATCAAGTGCATTTTTTGTTTCTTTTTCTTTTTGCTGTTCACACTTCAGTTATTGCTCAATAACTATCAAAAAGAACAGAGGAATCCTTTCAGTTTAGTTTTATTATATTATAACAGATCTGCAGCTACAGCTTATTTCAGCCAAAACATTTTTTTTCCTCTTTTTTTTTGTATTCCAAACTCTTAAAAAATATCTACATTAATCATATTTTTTTTTTCTATTCTTAAAAATAAAAACACTCTACCTAGCATACCAATGCTGCTACAGCACTTGAGAGGGTGCATTACTTATGTAACTCCTACAGTAAATGTCAATTCCTCTTGCAGTCCTTGTCCTTCCTCTTCTCCTCCTCCTCCTCCTCCTCCTCCTCTGCTGCTTTGGCTTCAGGTTTCAAAAAGTTTGTTAAAAGCTGTTCCAAGTTCTGAAACCATGTCAGAGGCAGTCATTGAACGGCCGAATTTTTGGAAGGCTTGGTGGTTAGACTGCCTTGTAAGAGAGCAAGCTCCAAAAGCAGCCACCAGGAAGGGGTTTTGACTGGAAGGGGGGAAAAAAAGACATCATTAGAGGGAGAATGGGGTGGCTCCTGTGGTGGTGGGAGCCCCTGAACCCCCCTTCCCTCCCCCCCAAGCTGGGGAGCTCTGGTTCTGTGCCCCAGGCACTGGGGGAGGATGTGGGTGGGCAGATGATTTTTGGCAGGGCCCCTGTCACTGCTCCAGGGCCATCAGCTCAGTGTGAAGGGGCTCCCGTGGCAGCTGCAGAGCACAGCATGAAGCCAAGGCACACACTGGGAGCCAGTCCTGGAGGTTCAAACACTGCCCTGGAGCAGGGGCTGTGTGCAGGCTCCTGGGCTGAGGAACCTCCTCACACAGCTGGGGCTGGGGCACTGCAGCCTGCCCTGAGCCAGGCAGCCCCAAAATCTCCTGTCTGAGACACAGGAGGGGCAGGGCAGGTGTCTGGGAAGGGGACACACTGCTCTGCTGGTGCCACTTAGACTCTCCCCCTTCTCCTGTGGCACTCAGGAGTGTCTGGGGCAGCCCCAACAACTTCCTACTGTTGTACATCCCATAAAAATGAAGTTGCCCTTTTAAACAAGCCCAAATCCCTCCTTCAGTGGCAGCTGCAACTTCAGGTACACAACCTTCAGTTCAGATTTCATTTTCCATGCTGGGTAGGTCAGAGTTCAGGATTTTAAGGTGTGGTTTGAGTGGTCCCTTTGCTCCTGGGGGGCTCTGTGCAGTGCTCTCAAGCAACACAGGCTGGGTTTAACTGCTTCATGGCAGCTGCTTTTTCCACACAGGCACCAACATGACTCTAGGGACCACCCAGCTGGGCAGAAATTGGTGTAATCCCATTTCCATTTCAAATCTCCTTTGGGAATTTCTCTAGCAGCTCTAGGACAGCTGCCAGAGGAGGACACAGAAGAATGAAGAAGCTGTTAAGGAAGGCTCATACCCGTTGGTTTTTTCAGCTCCAGCAAGGAAGGCCCAGTGTGCCAGGACTCCCAGAGAGCCAGAGAGGAGATCCCCCTGTCCTCCACACCTCCTGCTGCTCCCCTCGTGGCTGCACACCAGCACTGTGAACAGACAGACCCAGCACAAGTCACAGCACCCCCCTGCACCCACAACACCCCACCCCAGCTGGGAGGCTGCCCCCGAGGCACAGGGGCAGCAGCACATGCTGGAAAGCCACCAGGCTTAAAAGAAAAATCAAGTTAAATATTCCTGATTATGTTTTCAACCCTTGACTCTGAGAAGAAAACAGGAGAAATGTATTATCCTCTCCTGAGAGGATGTCCCACCTCAGTTTTCTCAGGTCACCAGGGCTGGGTGTCTCTGGGGTGTAGGAACAGAGCAGCCCAGGGGCTTTAGAGGCAGCACTGAGAGGATTTAGAGGAGAAATTCCATTTAGAGGCAGAATATTTCTCAAAGGAAATTTTCTCTTACAAAACCACGTGGAAAAATCTGCATAAAAAAAAATGGAAGAACTTGCAAGTAAATCCTCTGAAACAGCACAAAAACTGCTGCATGGAAGGAAACCCTTCCCAGCTCACTGGCAGAGTTCCTGCTCTCTGTGCCTGGGTGCAGCAGAGGGCTGCACTTCACTTCCATTCCCTACCCACTCCTCAAGCAGTCCTTGCCAGGCTGGTGAGGAACATTTTTGCTGCCTCTAAAGGGGGAAAAAACCCATTCCTTATTGCCCAGGACCCCAGCAGCCACCACTGCAGCACTGCCAGAAGTTCATTTCCCCAACCCCTGTCCTCTCCTCCCCCCCAAACTGAGATTCTGGCAGTGCTGCTCAGGGAGCAGTGCTCCGTGGCAGATGTCACAAGTGGGCTGTCTGGAGGAGAGCTGCCCTCTTAGGTGGGGGGCTTTATTTTCTTAAAAAAATAATAACCAATCCAGCCCTTGGCAGGAATTCCCTCTAGTTCTGCTCCTTTGAAGATGGTATCTCACAGGATTTTCACTCGGAGGGCTTGAACTCCTGGCAGGAGGCAGGATGGAAATCCTCTGTTCAAAAGCTTTGGGGCCTTCTGACTGACAGCTGAGCACAAGCCCTTGCTTATTAGCTGCATGTCACCATCTGCCACTGCTCTGTAGCCTCCCAACCTTCCAGGCAGTGTTGAGCTGTACAGGAAAGCAAGATCTCCCCCAGACAGGCCAATTATAACACCCTGATACAGGAAAAAAACTCCAGTGGTCTTCTGTTGGTGTTTTTTTTTTCCAAACAGCAAGTCTCAAATAGGTGCAGACTACCTCAGAGGTAACAGGAGCAGAGCTTTGTGCTCTGCACAGAGGTGCTGGAAAACAAACCCACAGGATGCCTTCAGAGCAGCAGAGCTGCAGGAAAGGCACCTCAACGAGGAGGGGAAGAGAAAACACTCGGGCAGCTCTTTGCACAGAGCCCCAGCTCCTCAAAACACAGCTCCAGATGGAAGGATGGGGAACATCACCCCTGGCAGCAGGCAGAGGGATGAAGAACTCTGAAGCACAGTCACTGTGAAGAACTTTTGGAAGAAAGGAATGCCCCAAGGCCATCCAGAGAAACTGCTGCAAGGGACAAGTCCTGATCTGTCACCATTGCACAGGGCAAAGGGGAACTGCAGGGAAGTCACTCAGTGGCTCTGTGTTCAACTTATTCAGGCCATAAAATAAGTGACCATCAGCCTCTTTTCAGCACTGCCTGAAGGGGAGACAAACACCAGCATTTGGGGAAGCACTCAGACTGGGGTGTCACACTGAACTACATCATCCAAGGATCTGGATTTCCCTCACCCTGCCATTGTGATGTGTGTTGTTTTAGCTGAAAGAAAAAAAATGACATCAGATCAAGAGGAGAGATGAAAAGAGCAAAAAACCTGGGAGAGAATCCAAGGTCAGTGAGATGGCAACATGTGCTGTGTGGTGGCCCAGGGCAGGCAGCTCCATCTCCTTTCTCTGTGTCATTTGGTATTGGAGAGGCTTTTGAAAAATGGAAAGACAGTAACTCCCAGGCTCAATGTTCTTAAAAAGAAGCTGAAGTCCATAGTTTCTGCAAAATTCTCAGGAACCTCCTTGCAGGCAACACAACCCCTAAAAGCAGGGTGTGTAACAGACATCCTGACCTGCCTGAAAGGTGATAACTGCTCTCAATGCTGCCTCTGTAACCCAGGGGAGAAAGCATCAGGGATGAAACCCAGGGAGGAATAAGCCAGCAGCCTACAGCTGGATGTTCACTGCTGTCCAGGCACAGAACTGGTTTTATTTCAAACCAAAAAGCTACTTAACTAAGAGAAAAAAAAATATCAGAACACAGCAAAGAACAAGGTGCAGGAAAAAAACCCCAAATCTATGAAGAAGTCCCCAAATCACCCAAGACATACCCCAAACCCCTGCCACATCTGAACATGCACAACTAAAACTAGAAGGAATTTCAGCTGTTCCCTGGTTTGTTGAATCCTGCATGCCAAGAGACACTGGAGGAGTGTCCCCTCCCTCCAGCAGTGGTAGGGGAACACTCATCTCAACAGGAGAGCAGAGAGACACCAGTGCTCAACCTCAAGCACTGACCCAGCTTTCCCAACATTCATTAAAAAAAAAAAGCAACCATCCTGCCTAAAAAGAGCATTATGGACATGAAAGCAGAGACAGGAATGAATGTTGCTTTCAGATCCCAGCCTGCCAGAGAGCTGGACTAAGAGGGGGGGTGTGGAAGGTGGCTCTGCACAAACTATTTGTCATATTACATCTGGTTTTCTGCTCTGAAAGGCTCCCAATAATGAAAAATTAACTGCACATACAAAATGGTTCTGGAGTGGCAGAAACATTTATCAGAGATGAGCATTTCAAGTCATTAGGAGCAGAGCTGCTGCTTGCTGTGGGTGTGGAATAAGAGCATATAGTCAAAATGGGATGAAGGCAACTCATGAACTCATTTGGGACTGATGGCAGTAAATAATCAGTATAAAAAGCACTGATTTGGTTAAGTATGCTTGAACCATATTAGTGACTGTTTTATAAAGTCAGAATGGCAATCTAGAGTTATATTTTTTTAATCATCAGGGCTCATGTAGAACTGCTGCATGCACATGCCCCATCTACAGCCCCATGGCACACAGCATCAAGGAACTGAGCAACTCAAACCTCAAGACATCTTCATTTGTCACACACACCCACATGGGGCTAAACAACAATTTTATTCTTCATCAATTTGGTAATGACATCTGCACTTTATATAGAACATCTCAGCTCAGGAGTTTAAAACAGTTTCCAAAGATGAAAAAACTAATTCCTTGATAACCTGTGTAATGTAAAACATACATTATACCCATTTAAATGAGAAATTGAGTTGGCAACTTTTTTAAGCCAAGTTTCACTCTTAAAAATATCAATTTAGAGCAGTCATTTAAAGGTGATCTGCAAAAACAGTCATCCCTCCCCTTCAGGGGAACACAGTCACCAACTACCACATCACCCAACCCCTGGGGCTGGGACTGGAAGCAGAGAGAACAAAAATGACACTGCTGAAAGTAAAAGGCTCCACTTACCTTTCTCTCCATCTGAAATGAGATCTCTTTCTCCCTTCTGAACAACTGTCAAATTGCCCATGGCCTGGCTGAGCCTCAGCACACACCCGTGGTGATCACTGCTGTCTACAGGGTCTCTGAGCTACAACACAAGGATTCCACCTTTCAGTTCTACAAGAACAGGTTCTTCTAGATAAAAAGAAAAGCAGCAGCAGCAATCATCCCAGGTATTTTTTTCTACACTCACTGCAGTGCCCAAAAAAATGCACACAAAAGGCTCTTCCCTAAAAAAAGAGCTCTAACCATGTTGTTGTTGTGGGGATTATCCCATGGAGTCAAAACCCAGGGGATGCTTCTCTCACATTAAACAGCACATAAAGTTTAAGGCAGTAATAAGTTGTTTTTAAAGACTAAACTTGCAGGTAAATCTCAGAAAGGAGAAGAGCTCACCATGGCTTCATAGAGCCTGCTGAACTCCATGTAGTTGGGAGTGAGGATAGCTCGTTGGTAGCCTTGAATAAGAGAAGGTTGCTGGGAAATGAGCCACAGTCCATCCTGCAAAACCCAGCACAGAGAACGTTTACTCCACAGATTCTCAACTCCCAAACCACTGACTGAGTCAAGAAAATACTTACAGCATCAATAATGATGGGAATTCCTTTCAGTTTTGATTTTTCTATAATACCCTGCAAAAAAAAAAGGCATGATTTTTCTATAATACCCTGCAAAAAAATGCAAAGATTTAAGGTGGATGCCAATGGAAATCTTGTAACATCCAGCACAGACCCACACAACTGATCATGGGAGTTGGTTTTATGAAGTCAGATAGAAAATAAACCTATTCCACCATGTAACAATCCCCCAGTGGCAGCAATACTAATTGTAGCTGCTTTTCTGATGGCAGTATTTTATGCACAAACAGACACCCTGAGGCCAGCAGCATGTAAGGCCCCCTCATTTCCCTCATGGTCCTGGAGATTTTAGGCTGTCAAGGAAAACCCTGTAAATGATGTACAAGGAGGCAGTTTTTAATGAATGCTCAGGGTATTGAGCATCCATCTCTCCCTTGTGTTGTGGTCAAAGTAAACACTGCCTGCCTTGCTTCCTGTAAATTATTAATGGTGGAATGTACATCTCCCAAGGGAACACCCCAAGTCTTCTGTTCAGCTCCTGCATGTTGAATGAACCTCAAGTTTTATGCAACTCGTGCCATTCAGCTGCTCCTCAATTATTCAGGTTTATGAGTAAATGTATTTAACTTATCTGTCCAAGGATGGAATCTTAAAACACACCTAGAATTAGCTGTGGCAGCCTGAAAACCAGAGAGCCTCACTTTCCAAGCTTTTAAGGAATTGATGAGCCAGAGTAATTTCTTTATTCATTAATGTTAATCTGCACAGATGTGCACAGCTCAGCTTTCCTTCAGAGAAGCTGCACTGCTCTGCCCCCCCTGTGTTAAGTTCATTAACAATTATGTTTAATTTGACTCACTTAGAATAAAACAAGCCTGTGGATCTAACAACCAGGTTTATGGGTTTTGTCTTGGGTTTTTTTTTATCCTGCATAAACAAACATCATACACCCAACAGCCTAATTATTTCTGAACCCCACTAAGCTCCTGTGATGAGGTATCACACAGCACTGAGCCCCAGTTAGCAAGATATTATATAAAAAAGCATCCAGGTCACTCTCCCCCAGTTTTTGAAGCTACAAATACCACTTTCTGCCACCTCATTCTCTAACTGGTTTTAATTGCCACTAATTTGAATCACCAGTTAATTCTGGTGTCAAATTGAGTAAGCCAGTCTCTCATGACACTTCATTTGTTAAAACCAAAACAGATCCCACCAGGAAGCCTGAAGGAAGACACCAGATCTCAGAAGTTACTTATCCTCCCAAACTGTTCTCTTAAACCTACTATGAGCACTCCAGGGAACTAATTTTGCCAAAATTTGTTGCTGAAATAGTTAAGATTTGGTCACTGCTTTGTTGTCTGGTCCCTTTTCATGTTTCTTCACAGCTGTCATCTTGACTATTGGTTGGAATTTATCTTTTTGTCTCTATGTATCTAAAACCAGGCTGAAAAAGAACCCTGCAGATCCACTCTGCACCAAAAGAGTGTGAGAATAAGGAAAAAAAAACCAAGATTGAAGTTACAAAGCTTGAAAATACACCTAGAAGTAGCCAGCTTCAGGGAGGATGGGTCCCTGGGACACTCCAGAGAACTAAGGCATTTCTTCCTAATAACATTTTTAGTTTCTCTCTCCACAATCCTGAGACATTTGACCTCTGCTTTGAAGGGAAATTCCATCTTACTAAATAAAACCTACTGGCCCAGCAACTTTTACTGTGCACCAAGTCTCTGAGGTATCAGTTTCTCATCTAACATAACAAGTGATCTTTGGTTTTGATTTCTCTCCTTATAAAACAAATAAGCAGGGGATAAAAAGTCCTTTGTCTTCTTCAGAAAGCTTATTTTTGAGCCCCCTAAAGAACCAAATAGAAAACCACCCTAATTGTTGTCCTTTCCTCCTCCTTCCTTAAATCCAGACAGCAAGTGCTTGGAGACAGAGAGACTGGTCAGTATTTGTGGCATCCAGAAGAACCTTCCCTGTTAATTGCACAATTAATACAGCTCAGATTAACTCTACTCTCACACCAAAACCTATTTATCTGTTTCTGACAGGACTCTGGGTATGAACAGGAACCATCTGCTCAGTTGTAGCCTGTGTAACAATTATTTACATGGGAAAGGATTCAGAAGAGAATTAAAATTAAAACACTAAGAACTGTTCCTATGACAAGACCTGAAATCCAAACACTGGTCACACAGCTGAACATTTAAATGATAAAACCCAAGACATCAGCTCTTCCCTTCAAACTGCATTTGGAAGATTTTGGAGATTCTAGCTCCAAGATATCCCAGTGAACTACCTTTAAATAAAACCCACCCCATCACCAAACACACACACAAAACCCCCCAGTGACCCCAAACCCACAAAACCCTCAATGCACTGAAAGCAGGACACACACACACAGAGAATCAGAACCCTCCAGGCTGCAAAGGGCCCCAGGAAGAAGCAGCCTGAAGGAATGACTGGCCAGGCTGCTGCTGAATTTCACCAATTTATTTCCACCACCATGGGCATCCAGGACACCTGCACAGTCCTTATGGAAAAAGGGAAGGGGCTGAGATGAGCCAGGGGGAGCCACAGGTTGCCAAAACCAGCTAGCATGTGTGAGAGAGGAATTAATTGCTCTGGAACTGCTAAGTACAATCAAAAGATTGTTAATCTGCCATGAAAATCTCCACAGAGCAGCCACCCAGAGGCAGCAGAAGCAGGTGCTCACAGGCAGGCAGCCTCTGCAGGCACTTTGGACTTCTCCACCCAAATCCATGAGCCAGCAGTACACACAACAGCACACAAGCCCATTCCCCACAGCTCCCTGGCAAAGAGAATCATGGCTAGTTTTGCCCACACTTCCCTCAGACTTCTCAGCTTTTTTTAATTAGATGTGGATTGGCAGCAGAACAGCAGCAATGAGTTTTAATAGACTATTAGTTGTATCACTCCTTGTGCTTTTCCTGATGAACTCGTTTAGCTACATGACAACTGTGGCACTCAGTGTTCACAAAGGGAAGAATCAGGAAATTACTGTCAGTGGTTTTAATAAAAGACTGAACATTAATGAAACAAACAGAAAACCACACCAGCAGCATATATAAAGCCACATCTATCCCACCACAGCAATTCATTTTCACTAAGGAAACATTTTCACTGAGGAAACATCACACTGTCACCTCTCCACCTCACAAAGGAAGGACACTGCAGGCAAAGTTTCCTTTCTATGGATTTAGAGCCAGGTAAACGTGGCCAGTGCCAGGTTGTGCACATCTCCTACAGCCTTCAGTACCCAAAAAGCAGTGGCAGACCTTTCCACAAAGGCCTCTCCCAACAGCCAGCATCAGAAACTGCTCTTGAATTGCCACCTAGAATCGCCTCTACTTTCCACATGGCTGCTGCTCTCCCCCAACAATCCCCAATCCATGGTTTTGTCTGGGACAGAGAGATAAAAGGGAAGAAACAGCCAGGATTTCCCTCAGCTGGAAGCACTCCTGCACACCCCTCTCCCCAAGGGGCCAGGAGGAAGGAGTGAGCTCCTCCTCAGCACGCTGCCAATCGACCCCTACCAGCAGCCCCTGGGCAGTGTCTGGGTGCTCTGTGCTCCAGGCTGGGATAAATTCAGAGTCAGCAGAGGTCAGGATGCAGCTCCTGGAGCAGCAGAGACACCTGGACAATGGGCTTGGCAGGCAGAAGTTTGTCATCTTGCACAGCTAGAGGCAGGCAGCCATCCCAAGCACAGGCTGTGCTCGAGGTGGGGGCTGAGAGGCCTCCCTGAATACATTCTGTTTGATAGAGGAGGCTTTGAAAAATGTGAAAAATGGAGCTCTGCTGCTTTAAGTTCTTCACAACAGAGCCAGATTTTCAGTAACTGCTTTTGCTTTACTTGCTCACTGGTGGAAATGTGCAGTTCACTCTGAAACTTCCTCTCACTAGCTCCCACTAACTCATCCTCCTTTCCAAACTCAGCAGTGTCAATCACCATCTCTCTGTGTCCAAGATTTATACAAATCACTTTCAAGCAGCCTAATTGCCCAAATTTTACTTTATATGTTCCTGCATGCCTATCACTAGGTCATCAATCACTCCTTCAAGCTCTCAGACCTCAGGTAAGAAACAACCACCACTCACACTACCTGGATGAACACAAACCAAATACCCTCTCTTGGAAACAAATAGCTTCATTATCTCCTGGTTTAATGAAATTTAACTGAGTCTTTTGTCTTTTAACCTTAGCATCACACCCTGGGCCCTGTTTTCCAAAAGAGATTTTCAGGTGCACAGGGAAATACTTCATTTAAGCCACACAGAGGGGAAGAAGGAGTCCCTCTGGAGAGCACCCAGCACATCATCAACTCACTGAGTGCCTTAGGAAGTGTTAAAAGCTGTGGCAACCAACAAAGCTGAAGATGCTGTGGATGGCAGCTAATCAAAACTGTCCTATTCTACACTTAAAAACCATATAGAAGAATGATGCACTTGTAGATTCCTTCTTTGAATTTAAAGTAGGCCACTTGCTGTCAAACTTGGAGGAAAATTGCAGCTAACAAAGTTTCTTCCTATCTGCCCCAGTCATATGTTACATTCTCAAAGAAGTGACAAAGCTTGAACATAAGGAACACAACAAAACAAAGCAGAAGCCTCTAAAATACTGTCCTAGCTATGAAAAAACTGTATGTATACACTACCACCCCTAAACACATCCAAATCCAGTTTAAACTCCAATCCAAAGTAAAAATCCAAATCAGAATAAATTCAGGCACTAAGTTCTTTTTCCTGCTGTCTCATCCACTGAACATTTACACTCACAAAGCCCACTGCAAAGTTTCCAGTTCATGGTTGATTATCTTCATGTTAGATTTGGCTCAAGATATTCAGGGTCAGCTGTTGGCATTTTGTCTTAAAATAAAACAAATAAACACGAACTTGAAACGAACTCTGGAATTTCTCACTGCTGGGTTTCTGTTTAGGGATTCTAGCTGAAGGCTGCTCAGGCAGAGTTGAAAAGGTGTCCAATTCCAGCTTTTTGCTTACAAATTGAAGTATTGAAACCAAGTTAAACAATATGAGATGCACAGAGAGCAAATTAACATCCCCCTTCGCCGTGAATGACTTTCATCAAGATCCATTACACGTTAGAGAATAAATTCTGCTTGCAAGCTGCACAAACCTGTATTTAAGGTCCTGTTAGCATATTTTCAAACACTGCTTTTCTAATCAAGACATTTGTGAGGCTGCCATAGAATATGAATAGTCCTTAGCACAAGCAGCAGTGGTTCTTGGTGCAGCCAAGATGATCTCTCTGCCTTGAGCTGGTGTTCCCAAGCTGTATCCACACCAGTATCACCATCACAACAGCCCAATCCTTTCCAAACCTTTGCCAGGTGTTAAAACACAGCCAAGACATTTCCACACAGCCTGAAGGTGTTGTCACTAGGGGTGGAAAATGAGACTTGTGAAATTCATAGCCCTAAAGACAGCAGAGAATTCAAGGGCCAAGGACTGGCTGAGGGTCGTGTTGGAGGGTGAGGGAGTTGGAGAGAGAAAGAGCAGTGGGCAGAAGTGGCAGTGAGGCAGAGACTCAGCCCAAAGAACCCAGGCTGGCATTCAGGATGTTTTCTTGGAGCTGAAAGAAAGACAGAAAACTGAGCAGGAGGAACATGAATGCAGCCTGAGAACCCAGCTGATCTCACCACACCTCTGTGCTGCTCAGAGCCATCACCTCTCCTGCAGGAGGGGAGCAAGCATGCTCTGCTGAAAACAGCAACCTAACCTGGCTGCTGCAGCACAAACTCCAGCCAGCCTGGGGTGGCAGGGTGCAGGATTCAGGGCTACTGCCTCAGGGAGAGAGACAAGGAACCTGGTGACAAGCAGAGATGATTCTGTACCAGTCCCTGTGACCACAAAGCCAGTAATGCACCCAGTAAAGATTTATCAAACTCTGAAGCAGAAAACTTGACAGGAAGGTCACATTCATGCCAGAAGAAAGAGGGGAAAGGAGTTGACAAGAGGCTGGAAACTGAGCAAGGACACAGCCAAGCCTTTATCCACTGGACTGCTGCACAGCAGTGCACACCCTGGAGCACCAGAGGGCTTCCCAAAGTCTTCTCAGGAGCTGCACTCACAACCCTGTGGCTCTCTCACAAACCTGAGGAACAACTCCTGATGGTACAGGCAGGAATTCCCCCACTTCCAAGCCTCAGGGTACAACAAAAACCAGATCAGAGTAAAACCAGCAGCACAGATATTCCTGGAAAGGCTGAATGAAGAATGCTGTGGTGGGCAGAGGTAGGGTAGGGACAACTAGGTACTGTCACCCACTGGGGTGAACTCAGGGAGGTAATGGTCCTGTTGTCTCTGGCCAGAATCAGTCACAGGCACTGCAAGGGAAAAAGATGCTTTCTTTAGGAGATTTTTCTGAAGCTGCAGTGCCTGGTCCTACAAATCTCTGACAGAGCATCACCCAGGCAACTGAGGAAACACAGATGTGAGGGGTTTGGCACAGACTCCCACAAGTGGCCTATAAGAGGGATAGGATTTGTAGAGTGGCTTCTTGTAGCAGGACTTGTAAATGGAATTACAGCTAAAACCAGACAATGACAGGAAGCCAATAAGTATGTATCCAAAGAGGATCACTGTGCTCTCAAGGAGGAGAGAAAAGGAAAAGAAAAAAAGCAAAAGAAACCAACCACAAGGTGCTTCTTTTCCATCAGGCTGGTGAAAGGAGCCAAAATGCCACAGGGCACACGTTGCAGGGGTTAAGCATGAGGGAAGCAGGAGATGTAGTGAAAAAAAAAAGTCTTTGACTGCAAAGCAGTCTTTGGTCTGGAGAAGGAAGATGCACCATCTGGTCAACAAGCACTTGGGCTGTTCCACAGCAAAACTCTGTCCATGGGCCATACACCAGGACCTGCAGGTTACTGCTGCACTGCTGCCCTCATTTCTCAAGGCTCAGAAGAGAGAAGCAGCCCAAACACAGGGCTGTTGGGACAGGCACACTCACTGGCCATGTGCTGGTGCAGCACTGACAGGACCTGGCAGAAGAACAGCAGCAGAGGTGACAGACCACTGTGCCTCAGCACTTTCAGGGGGCACAGGGAGGAAGGGAGGAAGTTCTCTGCCACCCTCACTGCCACTGGGACACAACACCCTGCCCAGAGAGCAGACACTGATCTACATCTCTGCCCTGGGTTCATCTGACAGCATGCTGAGCTTAGCTTAAAGGGAAAACAGAACTTTATATACCAAGCCAGCCTCCTAGCAAAGTTTAAAATAGCAATTCTATCATAATTTGCTTCTTTCCTTGAAGGTGAAGAGTGATACACAAAGCTTAAAATCTGAAGCAGGAGGGAGGCTCAGTGAAAGGGAGCACTAGTTTTCCTCAGGCAGGCAAGCAGGGTTCACTTGTCCCCAATTTCACATTAAAAACAACACTGTGTAACTAATGAACACTTACATAATTACAGTGAAGACAAAGAACTTGAGCTTTAATGTGACCTGAAATTAATCAGGTCAGATCCACAGCTCCTATGAACGTGGCCTGAGATTTTAGCATGAAGTAGCCTCCAAATGCTTCACTGGCTGGGTTTGTTTCTCTAAATTTGAGCTAGCTCACACAGGAGAGCCAGGCTGAGGTTAAAGTATGCTTGTAATCCACTAGGAAAGCAAAACTACTTTTAGGAGTGATGAAAAAAGGGGAAAAAATGCCATCAAAGTGTCTTCCAGATACTTCTGTAATACAGATATAGACAGGTAATTCCTAAACCTGTAGTACAGACAGGTATTTATAAAACCCAGGTGGAATTCTGACACAAAAGAAGCTTGTGTTAGATATCTTAGATATTCTAAATTAATTCTTATTTTCTTTTGTTTGAAGCTGTTTTTCTTCAGGAAAAAAAAAAACATTAAAAAAAATCATTGCCCATTTTTTTTCTGTAAAAGGAATTCTGAAACAAAATGTTTTCAAAAAAGGAATAAAATCTCTGTTGGAAATTTTCATTTAGAATTGAATTTGCTTTCTTGATCAGCTGTAATAATTTTTTTTCCCCTTTCTTTCTGAATCCATGCTCTATTAGTTTTGCACCTCTGTAGCATAAACCAGACACTTTTTGGAAGCAGGTGGATATTAAAAAAGCAAAAAGCTCCAATAGCAACTTTTTCTAACAAAAGCTTAGGGATAAAAACCCTCCATAGCTCTCAAAGTGTTCTAAAGTGCTTAGATAGTGGTCTCCACTCTCTTGCCTCTCCTGTTCCACAGCTTCACTGCAGACCTGTGAAACATTTCTGTGAATTACATTAAATCCACTTGTTAGTATCACTGATTAAGTCAGTAATACTTCTCAGGAAAATTGTTTTTTTTTCAATTCTACAAAATCAGATTGACATTAGACTGGAAGATACACTTTGAATGCACCAGGATGTGCTGACACTAACACAAGGCATCACCTGTAAGACACTGTAAGCACCTATTATTTAGAGCACAGAACTATCTAAGCTCCTGTTTTCAGCTCTCCACGAAGGCTTGACAGAAAATAGGATTATCTCTTTATCCAGAGTAGAAATCTGCAACATTTTATAATTAAGAGTATTATTTCTTACTGCAAGGGGACACAGTCCCTATTCCTTGGTTCTGCTCCTGATGCAAGTAGTCACACAGGGTTCCAAAACTTAGAAACTCAAATTCAGGTGTATGTTCTTATAGTACAGGTGCTTTGCAGCTAAGAAAAGACAGAGCCTTCATCTAGAGATGCCAACAACTATTTAATTAGTGACTTTCCCCATTAAACTAAAAGCTAAATCACAACCATATGAGTGTCTAAAATTCAGAGTGATGCTCACTGTTTAATAATGAAGACCATGAGTAACAGCTGTAACTTTCACTCACCAATATTTGTTATTTAGTCACCCCATGGAAAAGCATTTGTGTCATCATGTAGAAGGTAATTAATTGGTTAATAAAACCCAACCTAAAGACAGAATAAAACATCAGTGCAGACATTACCTTAGCGTTCTCAAGCAGAACTTCATCTCTACCTAAGCCAGGTCCTATGACAACTGAGTGCAGTCGTGGTAACCACTTTTCCACCTCATGGACAGCATTTGGACTATCACTAAATGGAATTGGGAGAAAAAGACAAGTTTAAAAAGGCTTCATTTTAATGTTCTCAGAAACTGAGGTGAAGATGCAAGACAGAAAGAGAGATTTCCTATCTTGAGTGTCAGGCAGTTTTAACCTCTCAACTACAAGAAAAATCTGTGACCCAGGAAATAAATGGTTATCCAAATAGCTGAAGTGAAATATTTCTCTTGATTCATTCCCTAAAGGATATCACATGAAAATGAGGAGGTAATTGCAAGTATCCACTGGAGTTGTTACAAAACACAAAACTAAAACCCAGGCAGGAAAGCAACAGTTCCTACAGTCTGTCAAAATTCTCTCTTTATGCTCCTCTGCAGAGATGACACCTTCAGAAGCATTTGTTCTGACTGAATTATGGCCAAACCCCCTTCCCCAAAAGGCAACAGGAGAATCAAACTCATCAGTCAGGGTATTAGCTGCTTGTAATGCTTCAGATTTCTGTTAGCCTTTGGGTTTTGTCTACAGTGGAAAAAGGAGGAGAAAATCCACTGCCAAATATAGCTGCCACAACTCCCCGCTCAGCCCCTCGCCAGAGACAGAGCTGTTTGTTTTGTGCTGATCAGTTTTGTTGTGTAAATAGGTCAGGAGATTCTGAAAGCACCCTCCAACAATGTCAGTTAATCCTTCCTGACAGTCGGGAGGGATAATTTAGCCTCCCTGCCTCCCTCCCCACCTCTGACACGAGGGGATAAATGAACATTTTAAGGGTGGCCCAGGGGAATGAAGCTCCCCCGGGCTAAGCAGGGAGGTGCAGGTCGGCAGTGGGAGAACCCTGCGAGCTGGCAGCACCTCCCCAGAGCTCTGTGCTCAGGGCTGAGAGCACATTTTATAATTAAGTGTCACCACCAGCAGCTGCCCTGCTGGGGCAGCACTGGGAAAAAGTGTTTCTCCCACAGCCCTTTCTGTGTGCAGCTCCAGGGGTGCAACAGCTCTGAGCAAGAGCCCAACAACTGCCAGGCAGATCACTTCTCTGGGGTTTCTTTGCCTTTCATCCCTGTATCATCACCCATCAGCTTCTGATGTTGATACAGGCTGGGAAAAAAAAAGGATTGAAGAAATATTTAAAGCACCACTAAAAAAAAATGCTAATTCTGTTAGATGTGGAAGGGTGAACATGGGAAAAACTGTCCATGAATCAAGCTGATAAAATATCCCCCATCTCTGAACACAAACCACTGTTTTATTTACATGCTGGAAGTGATTTTATCTCTAGAAGAACAATATAGATCCTAAATACATAGACATGGATTAGATATTTAGTTGAGAAATAGATATATATCATACAGAGAAGAATATGGAGATATATATACACTTGTTTATATATACACACATAAAAAAGGAGGTTTGAATGGACTGAATTCAAAATACCTTTGGATAGTAGAAGCCAAATACACTGAATAAATAAATGTTCCATTTAACATAAGCTAAGAACAGAGCCACAGCCAGCACTGAAACTGCTCTGCTCTTTTCCAAATATCTCATGCAAACAATCTCAAGGTAGAAACTTTGCCAATTTATTTATATTCAGGGTTGTACTAAGATAATTCTGCCTGCAACTCAATTGATAATGCACACTCCTCAAAACAAAGCCATCTCTTGGGAAATGAACAGTCCAGCACTAAGCCACTGCTGCTCACACTGCCCCTGGTAATAATGAAAACCTGCTGTAGAGCTTTTCATCTTCAAAGCCTTTCACAAACATTACAGTCATATAACTCCTTTGCAACTTCACATCAAGAAGGAACCCAAGGCACAGCAAGGGCCAAGAGGTTTAAAATGGTGATAGTAACTGTTACACTGCAAAATCAGCTGTACAAACATGCTGTGAAATAACTGATGGATTTTGATTCTTCATAAAGAAAGCAGAACCAATGCTGCCTCAGAGCAGCATCATGTCAACTCCACTTGGAGGTACTGGCTGCTGACAAGAGCTGGGGTTATGCAGCTAAGGACATCTTTAAAATATCCTCTACCTACAGCTTCTCTGCAAGTGGAAAGGTTATTGTGTCAACTTACAGTTTATTTCCCACACAGGCATCAAAGTAGAAGCATTTTAAAGCTGACAGAGTACAAGTGATCAACATCTAACTTACTTTGGGATGTCACCTTCAACGTTCCTGCCCATGGGGTTTTGCATGAGGACAGAAACTCTTCCAGCTTTTAGAGCTACAACCATCCACAACTTTGAAACATGGCCAGAGGAGTTCTCTGACAGAGGTCAGCTGCCCTCTGCACCTTCAGCAGGTAATGCTCAAGCTGCCTGGCACAGTCCCTGGGCTATGGCAGTTCTTCAGCAGAGGAAGAAGTTGTTGTGAGAGGCTAAAAGCCTTGCCAAGGGCTGTTTGGATCATTTGCCAGTACTGACACATGTTTGAGTACCTGGGAATAAATGCTCCTTGGCAGGGTTTAGTTTATTAGTGCAGGAAAAAACAATGCATGTTTTTGTTTGCCTGTGAATCCAAATCAGAGGAAAAAAAAACCCAAAACAACACTTTGAAGGCATCAGCACAGAACATGTCAGGTCCTCAGCTGTTTGCTGTGTACTGTGCTCATACAAATGATGTTCTTAACCCCCTTTGTCCCTCCATGCCAGCTTCTCCACCTGATTACTGACCTGATTTCAAACCTCTCCATTTATTTATCACCTTTACCACCCAAGTCATGCACACACAATTGAAATCAGCACTGGTTTGGGTTTTTTTAACTACCTAGAAAGGTATGAGGCATGAAGATGTCCCCTTAAGAGATGCAATCTTCAGGCTTGGACAGAAAAGGATCAAGTAAGCAAGAATCAGTGTTGCATTTAGAGGTGCAGAGCCACGTGATACACAACTGGGCTTCTTTCCAAACCAAGAATCACAAGTGCAATGCCTATTTTAAACCACAAAGCTAACAGTCATATAAAGAGGAGTCAGAAAATCTCTTGCAAGGGTGTGAGAAAACAACATCTGAATTTCTGACAAGAGGGGAAAAACTTTTGAGAGAGACTTTGATTAACTAGAAGTCAGGAATTTCCTAAAATAAAGCAAGATTTTTTTGGAGATGATGGGATAAGAAATTGGGGAAACCATGTGGCTTTACCATAATTTGCAGATAGGGACTCTGTACCATGGACATACACCAGGAATACTTTTGGGAAGCTGAATCCAAGCAGTAACAGCTGTGAACATGGGGAGTGTTCAGGAGAGGACCACTGTGCAGAAGTGTGCAGCTGAAGATGCTGCTGACAGACCACAGCTGTAGAGGTGCAGGATGTGAACACATCTTCAGCCAGCTACTCAACTTCCAGCTAAGCACTGTGTGTTATCTAGCACGTTATCAGATGTCATTCTGATGAAAATCTAAATTACAACACCTCGTTGTTTAATCAAGCAATTGAACAACACCCCAAAAGCCTCCTCAAAGTCTTGGCTTGTCTGGAAAAGAATCAATAAAGCTTTGACTGCATACCTAAAAGAACTGTCACAGGATAAACACATAAATGACAACTGGAAGACAACAGAAGCACTAAGAAGGGAAACTGAGGGAATTTCTATTGCTCATCTCATCCCTGTTCAGTAAAACTTTCCGTGGCAAAAGCTACAAAGATTCTTCAAATTAAACAGCACCAAGTCTCTGAAAAGGTGAGGACAAATTTCTTTCCTGTATTTTGGTAACCTGACATAACTTCTGCCCAATTAAAACCCATACACCCTGAAAAAGTGCCTCATCTTGCCACCTGGACTAGTTTTACACACAGCTAGAGCAGTGCTGTGCTTGTGGCAGTAAGTGCTGGATCCAGGACTGCACAGTCTCACTGTTGCCTCTAAATGTACCTCACAGCCTCTCCTAGTACCTCTTAGTTTTGAAAGAAAAGAAAAACTTTCAATCAAGCTTTCTGCTTTTCAAGACTTTCCTATATTTCACTACCACTCAAAAAAAAAAAATACATAAAACAGAGTTCTGTAGATCAGCTTGGTGAAAGCTTGATGTAACAACAAAGACAACAAAGAGCCTGAAAAAGATTTAGGCTACTACCCTAATATCACCCCTAGTTACTAAACATCTCCCAGAGCAGTCTGTAACAGATATTTGACAGATTCCATCTGCTTGAAAGCCTGCTCTAGGCTGCTCACTGACTTGACACCTAGGGCCTGAAACAACCCCCATCCCCATCCCTGTTTCTACCTGCTGCATTTTACTCAAAGCCTGGCTTTCACCAAGTGATCAAAAGCCACCAGAGCAACAGCTTTAAATTATTCCAGAAAGCTCTAAACTCAGCAGCTTTCCTCATTCAGGCTGAATGACAGTTCCTAGAGGGAAGGGAAGGACAGTGATAAGGTGCAGCCTTGTCATATTGCACAGGGACACAAGAAAACGTGAAGCCAAGTCAGCACAGGTGCATCTGGGAGCTACAGAACCAGCAGATAAGCATGAATGACAGCAGAGAGGAGGCAGCAGGACTGCAGCTCTTCAGACTTGTTTTGAGGCAGAGCTGGAGCCACCTCAGCAATCAGAGGTGTGCTCCGGACGTCACAGAACGCCAGTCAGCAGGACCTCCTGCTAGAGGGGGGCACAGGATGCACACAAGGCTGCTGGCACCTCATCAGCTCTGTGGGTTCTCTCTGCAGAGTGCATTTTTGAAGTTCTCTCATTATCTGAGTGCAGGGGGACTGAGGCAACTCCAGAAGCATGAAAATGTCCCCCTGCAAGAGTCCCTTACGTCAGTTCAGACAAAGCCACTTTTAAAGGGGCACTTTCAAAAGCCAACCTAGAGTCTTATCTTCAAAGATGGGGAAAAGTCTCTGATCTGAGGATGAAAGACTTCGGGGTTTGTTTGTCCAAGCACTGCAGGTAATTATATGAATGTGAATCAAATGTTAGACCTGCTGACACTGAGATCCTGTCATGTTGTACAGCACATCAAAAGAGCAGAAGATGGGACATAAGGCATTAGCTCCAGAATTTAAGGAGTTATCTCAGAAAGCTAAT